GTTGTCTCGAAACCCATTTTCATCTAGAGAGACTTCCTTTAGTTGTTCTCTAACCTTAGAGTTATCTTCTCTCAGAGACTTGATTTCAGCTTCTAAAGCCTGGATATCGCTTGAGTTTGTATCAGTCTGAGTTTCACAAAGATTTTATAGAAGTTTCACTTGTTTCTGTAGTTGATTCGTTGACACCAGTCGCGGTAACACAATCTGTGGCCTTCACAGGTTCTTCTTGTAGAAATTCAGTTAGATTCGGAAGCTCAAGTAGCGCTTGGGCGCCTTCTGATTTCTCCTTTATTAAATCCTAACGATCTTTCCTTTTTCCATCCACATTCTTGACGGAGTTATGGCCGAGGTTTAAACTAGGAGCCCAATCAGCATTTTCGGTATCGTACAGATCTGTCGGTTGCCCTGGTGGTGAACAAACTATAAGCTAGACGAACTGCAAGCTACTAAACAAACTAGAAGCTGCAGATAACAAAACTAAACAATCGCTATCGATTCAACACCACTATAAATGAAATACTTGTACTCTTAAGACCTATATTGGTTAGTTTGAAAATTGTTGCAGCATTTTATCTGATACGAAGTGATCACTACAAACACGAGCGTTCGAATACTTCTGGAGTCAGGTCTTCACGTTTGATCCTCTTTACCCACTCGCTTTGGCGTTGTTTTTGAAGCAATTTCAATTATCTCCGACATTACTTTTAACAGTAGGCATTCTAAAGAAACGCTTGTCTTTGTTACGATTTCAACGGTTAGAACAGCCAAATACGGCACAAAAGTTGACAATGATTGACGTCTCTGCGTATATTTCTTTCGATCTATCATGCTAGGTTGTCCTCCAGATGGAAATTGTCACGTGATCCTAAATCACTAGTGACGTCATGTGCAAGGGGTCTATACAGATAACTGTGTTTATGTCTAAAAACTAAAACGATATATTCCGTAAAAGCCTCTAAAACACTAAAGTTCGCACCGTTACTTGACGGTGGCCTTGAAGGTGTGCGCAATGTTAAGCGAGCTTAAGAGTGTCGCTTTCTGCATTTTTCGCAGGACTTCCTTGCTCCTAGCGCCCAAAAGCTTCTTCATTGTTTTCTCGAGCTCCTTCGACCACCCCCGTTAGCACATCAATAACTACTGCTCCACGCAATATCCAGCATATTGCTTTTTAAGCTCCCATCGCAGTGGGGCATATTTTTCCGTCTTTACCTTCTCCTTCTTTCCGCGGTTATCCAACCAGGGACAACTCATTTCCACCGCCAAGACTTGCTCTCTGTTGTGATCCACAAACCTCGCCTCCCGGTTAGCTCAAACTGTCTTATGCCACCGTTGTCTGGTCACCGCATCACATATACTTAAAGCTTAAAATAGAACGCGTGCAGCGCAGAGCAACCAGATGGATATTAAAGCTCAATTGGCAGAGCGCCGGACTGTTGTGCGGGAGGTCGTGAGTTCAAATCCGGCCGGACCAACACTCAGCCTTTGTAATAATATCTGCAAATGGTTAGACTTTCTAGTCTTCTCGGATAGGGACGAAAAATGGAGGTCCCGTCTCATAAGCCCGGGGACCCTTTGGGTACGGCTAATCAAGGAGCTGGATTAACCCCTATGTGACCGCTCTAAACCGATCAGATGTCTAGGAATATTAATTTGTGACGTGTACGATGGTCTTTTTGTTTCTATAAATTTGCATATAACGTCACAGAATACGATTGTGATACAAATTTCGCGCCAAAAATAAACCAA